TTTTTTTGGTAAGTGCATGTGCTATCAAATCAGTGTAGAAAAATAATTTAATTAATTTATTGAGCATATCATCATTGAAATTAAGAGCATATGCAAGAAATCCTGAAAAAATTTCCAACATCTTAACTAACCATCACATTAAATTTATAATTATTTTATTTTAAATATTATTTTAATATACCCACTAACAATTAGGTCAATAATGTTTTAATCCGACTCCCTAATATAATTTATATGAAAGATAATATAATCTATTGTTTGTCAATTAATGACAATCATGCTTGTTGCAATAATTTTAAAATTGTTCATCATAATATATTTCACACTCGTTCAGATTTGCACTACGTACGTGTCTAATGACTTATTTAATGCTTTTATTGTCTACATTTTCGCATCATACAAAATTCAAGATAAAGATCATATATGGATTCTTCAATAATGACAAAACAGAATAAAACAGTGACACCATATTGAGAAGAATGTCATTTGTTAAAATATTTGAGAGGAGAAGAATTTGAATTATGTTTTATTATGATAGTCTTAGTCATCTATGAACTTTATTATTACAAAGTCATTATCAAATATGTACCAAAATTTATTACTTTTTAATTATTTAACATTGAAAATTGATAATATAGGTTCATTATTGAATGAAGATATGTATGAAAGGTTAATACCACTACAGTTGCAAACTCATGATGAAAATATGTATGAACTCATATAAACACCAATAAATTTAAAAAATTAAAAATTAAAAAATCTGTAATAAAACTTGCATCATATGAATTCAAGTTCGAAGAAAATAAAATGTGAAGTTCTAATATCAACACATCGATATGATGTTCATGATACAATATACATAAGAGTCACATCAAGCTATCATCAAGCCGAAAAAATGATAGAGAACAAGCAGACTTCATTCAGTAGCAAAAGGAACCCAAAAAAAGAGAGAAAACAATCAAATTGGTTTTTCCCAAAACCAATACTAAACAACGCATTTCAATCTTTGGATAGCCAAACAAGCACATTCACACTCAAGAAACACCACACTTCTATTTACAGAATAAATTATTGATATCAAAACAACCCCATAAATCATGTCGAATTCTATGAAACCTAGGTTTCGTTAGCAAACTTCTTTTGAGCGTTCAAAAAACTTTTTGTCAGCAAGATTGTAGTCTCCCTGGACGAGACGATATCATATCCTGAAACGGCTTTAGCAAGCCGTTAAGCTCAACAAATTTGTCCTGTTTGAGCAATTTAGCACACAATTCAAGCAGAGACTCCAGGGCATTAGCTTTCTCTAACCTCGGATTTTTCCATTAGTCTTGTGAGATTAACGACAGATTAACACTTTTTTCTTTATCGAGATGAACGTTTTTCCGGTTTTTTTTTTTTGGAATAGCTTGTGGGGTCATCCGTTTGGTATCGAGATGAACGTCTACAACAACATTTAAATAATAATAATAATAATAATAATAATAATAATGGGCTTTGGCTAATAATTTTGCCGAACTTTGACGATAAATTTCTGGCATCACGTGTAAAAAAGGGTTGGCATTCTAGAAATATTACATCCTCAAGTTGACTAGTGAAAAAAAAAAAAAAAACTAAGACATACCAATCACATTCCATTCCTTATCCTTTATTCAATAGCACTTCTGGAGCAATATAATCAGGTGTATCAACAGTTGAGTGGGCCTAAGATATTCAAAAATAGAAAAAAAATTCAATATTGTTGTGTGTTGATCTCACAACTTAACAACATTATTTTTTGTAAGAGGAAAAGATTAACACTCGTAAATCGTAATACTCACCATTTATAGCCCAAAGTTTAGTTAACTAGATTGCTAAGAGTGTGTTTGTTTATCAATTGTTTCAATTCACGTTCAAAATCTAATTCAAATTTGTCCGCTCGTAAGTGTTTCAATATAGTTATTCCCTACAGAGAAATATCTCTCTTTTTTTTAATATTAATGCAATCCAGTGGTTTGCATAATTCAAAATCAGACAGCTTCATGTGTCCATGTCTATCAAGGAGCAAGTTATCAGGTTTGATATCCGTGAAAAGTTACAGTGAGACTAAATAAAGTAACATCCCGTGGAGACCTAGACATTTCGTAACAAATTATCCCGGATAATACAACACAAACCTATGAATATAATTGTGTTTGTGGATACATTCAATGGCGAGAATTGTTTTCCCTACGTAGAACCTGGCTGCATCTTCTGTTAAGGTATCTTTACGTATCAGTAATGTCATAATATCTCCCTCAGGAAGATATTCCATTTTTAGGTATAGATACTCTTCGTCTTGGAAAGAACAATAAAATTTTGACAATGCAGTTGCTGTCGACTTCTGCTAGTAAATTCCGGCGAGGTCGTGAAGATGGCGTGACGGCGAGGTCGCGTTCGACAGAAGAGACGGCATGACGGCGAGATCGAGTGAGGTCACAAGAGGTCGTGAGGTCGCGTTCGGTCAGAAGACCAAATTTGTTCGATTTTTGCTTGTAAGCACTAAAAATCCTTGTGTCTTATTGGGTATTGCTAGTGCTACTTTGTGCTTGAGCATGACTATCCTTGTGGCCATTGGTAGTGTATATTTTTAATATTACTACTTATTTTAACTTTAAATTACTTTCTACTGTTTGACAATTTAGTACACTTCACATATTCTTCAGTTGATTATAGATTAAATAGGGCACAATTGGAATCAATCTAGTCAAAAATATATAACAAAGTAAAAATTAAAGAGATTATCAAGTGTGTCTCAACTTTAAGTTGGTATCCTAGAAAGTAAGGAGCATGCTTTTATTAAGTGCTAGTTTAATTTTTTTCTAAAATTGTTGTTTTTTTTTTTATATCCATTAAGTAAATTTATGTAACCAATTTAATTTCATTAAACTTAATTAATTTAATTTCGTTTGAATTTAAATAAATATTCATTATTGATTAGAAAATATTTTATTTATTTTTAAAATCTCATTGTTTATGAAGACATTATTTCAAAACATGATTTGTATGAAAAAAATTATTTATTTAGTAGTTATATTCTATTTCATTAATCAGTGTGCACGGGAAATATGCTCATAAGAAATTATCTAATTACTAATTACCCACAATTATGTAATTGATGTACAATTGAAATTCTATTTTAGTTTTAAAAGAAACAATTTTTTAAATATTGACGTTTAATTGAATTTATATTTTACTTTAAAAAATTACTTTTTGAAATATGATTTCAAATGCATAGAAGTTAAAAACAAGTGATTACTTTGCCAAAAATAAAATACCACGATTCAATTATGTACAAATAAATGTAAAGATTAAAAAATTTAACTAATTATAAAATCAATTAAATGAAAGATGAATATATGTTCACATCAATTCGATATAATGTTTTCTTATATATAGGATAGGGACACTAGTAATTTTATCTAAAAAGACATATATAAAAGATTTTGGTGATTTTTAGCCATGTCTTGTTTTGTCAAATAATACAGGTTTGATTCATTAGATAAAAACATGCACCATATATTGTTACCTAATCTTTAGGAAAGATGCATGTATGGCGTGAAATATATCACATTCCAAAATCTTTATTAGCACAAATTAGAAAAAAAAAAGTAAAAAATCATATCCTCCCTATATATAATTCCCGAATGCATTGATCCTACGTGGCTGCTTCTGGTGCTTCGAAATCCTATTTGGCGAAGAATCATACTTCGTAATTAGGTTTAGACAAATAATATTGATATATTAATACTTAATAATCTAGGTTCGGGTATTCCATAATATTATTTAGCTAACATAGGTATTTTAACATCACTTTTACTAATATAACCCTTTATTTTTTTGTAATTTTACATAGTGAGACACTAAGTGACTAATATATCCCTAAATTTTGATTTGTTTCCTTCAATAAGTTATTGAATTATAAATGTATTTTAAAAGTTGATAACTTTTGTATTTCTTATCGGTTTTACATATATAATATATCAAATTAATCATATTTTGATGATCTTCGACTTGACATCCATATTGTATATATAAAATAAATAAATTATATTTATCTTTATAATAATAAAAAATAATAATACTTATTAAAATTCATTAGAAAAATAAAATTATTTCTCAATTGATATATTTATATTTAATGTAGTTATATATTGTAAGTTAAAAAATTAGTATAATATAACACAAGTAAGTCGCACAAATAAAAATTATCATAATAAATATATAATAATATATATATATATATCTTATAAAAGGTATTTAAATTTTCAAACTATTTTTTCTCATTGATTTTAAATTTTAAGAAAAAAATTAGCAAGCACCCGTGTAATACACGGGTGTTGTACTAGTTGAATATATTCAACACAAATCTTGCACGATTTTTAAAACTATTCATTATGGATTACCACATAAATGTTTCCAACAAATTACATTTAAAATTATATTAAATGTCACATTTGGTTTACATATTCAAATTATTAATTATAAAGAGAAATAAAGCTTCATGGCCAAACGTTTTTTGTAAAGAAAATCACTTCACAAATTATCCAAATAAATTTCATATAAGCATGGTATGTATGTCTGATTTATTTGCATAGTAAATTTTTGAACAATCAACCAAAATTCTAATTTATAAGCAATTTTTAAATAATAACATAATCCTTTATAGATAGCATGGATTTGAAGTGAATTTTTCATAGGAAATATGTACCATAAATATGCAATTCAAATATGTAGATTTATAATATTTAAAATATGTTAATTTTTATTATCCTTAAATATAAAAAATCTAAAGTGACAATTATCTTATAATGAACGAAATAAACATATAAATTATATATTAAATTATTATATGATATAAGATAAAATAAAAAAATAATTATTAACATTTAAAATTATTTTTATACTAATCAATATTCCTTCATTGATTTAATATATACAATTTATGATTATTGTCTCGTGCTTTGCATGAGCTACATACTATTAACGAAAAAATAGCTATTTGGACAAATAAAAAGACCCATCTATACTTATATTAAAAGGAAACCTATTTACTAAATATAGTAGGTAGAAAAGTCAACTTTAATTAATGAACTTCTAATTTTATCAAGTAGTAATTAATGCATTTATAATTTTAATCAAGTTTCCTATTTTCCATATTGTTTTTAATTCTTCTTATCTTGACATAAAAAATCCCATAAAATAGGGTGAGCAAAAACAATCAAAATTCTGTTTCTAAAAACTACAAATCAATATTACGATTTTGAATAATACATTAATAAATTATAATATATTTTTATAAAACTTATAAAAAACTATTAAAAGAACTTAGTTCGCATATTTGTATGGATATTTATATTTTTCTAATATTATCTTTGTGTTAAAAAAACTATTTAACACTATCCTTTTTTATTATATAATAAAATAATAATTAAATATTATATGATGAACAAGAATAAATAAAACTGTTACTTTTTCTTATATCAAGGGATAAATTTATATACTGAAATTAAAGTTTTATTAGTATAAATATTTTCGTGAGATAATATATTAATTATTTTACAAGCTAGCACTAACATACTCATATTTAATGTTCTCACTAAAAAACAATGCTGGTTAAAAGATATGAAAAAAAGCTTATAACCTTATTGTTTTTTAGACTTACCGTTGATTAAATGAGGTAGAAAATAGATAATAACACTATTACTTTTAAGATTTAAAACGGACAAGGCTGTTAAAATAACTCATTTAATATCTATGTTCCGTGCATCGCACGGGGATACGTACTAGTATACCCTTAAAACTCTATTTTGTATAGTTCACGGTGAAACTAGATTTAGAGAAGGGTTTCAAATAAATCGAGCTTGGTGAGCATCTCGTCACTGAAATCTTATTCAATCCTCACGATGAGGCTCACGACTAAGCTTTCAAGGGCAGTAAGGCTTTCGCTCGTCAAGCTACCGTTCTCCGCCAACTACGGCGGCGCCGGCGCAGAAACCCGTCAGACGCTTCTTCACCGGCCGAGGCGCCTTCACGCCCGACCCGGTCCCCCTTGAGATGATAAAATACGTCGGGTCTCTCGCTCGCGAGCAGAAAACAGGTCCCAATTTCTTTAATTTCAATCTCTTTTAGTTATCTTTTCTCGATTGTTTTAGTAACGGGTTTGGCTTGAAAATGTGAAATTTTGCAGAGGAATTGTGTGTGAGGGTTACTGGTGTTGGATCAGTACGAGTCGACTCAGCCCGATGCCAATTACAAGGGTTTGGTTGAGCTTGCTCGTGCGACGTTGTGGTGTGAAAGGTGTGTGACCTAATTTTATTTCTTGATTTCTTTTTATTTTTTTCTCGTTTTTCATGGATATGTAATGTTTTTTTTTTTTT